GTTGAGATTTTTATATTTATTGTCACCTATAATAAACATATCTAGAAAATGCTTAATAAGTTAGAATATATTTTTAATTAAAATTGAAACTATACTAATAATATGTTGTGATAAAACTTCAATAATAAAGTTAATTGTCTCCATCCATGAGATTCCATACAAATTGAAAATTAAAATTAAACTCAAACCTCAAGGGCTTATAGATTCTCTATTTGATAGAAATATGTGTGAATTCTTGCAGTCTTTTAACGCATTTAAATATTATAAAGTTTGAATTTTTGTTTTGTTTAAAGATTTATGTTTTTAATGGCTTAAATAAATTTAGTTTAATATTTTTTGTTGGAAAATGGTAAAAATACTGTATCATGTAAACTATGCACATCTTATTGATACAGTTTGTGATTGTCATCCGGTGGGCAGTTCAGGCAGGAATTGCAACATAACCAGTGGTCAGTGTCAGTGTAAGCCCGGTGTGACTGGCATTAGTTGTAACCGATGCGCTAAAGTAAGTCCGCAAACATTGTCTACAAGTAATTGAAATAAATGTAAATTTTTGTGAACACTTAGGGATATCAACAGTCGAGATCTCCTGTCCAGCCCTGTATTAGTAAGTGATTATGTGTTGACTATTTTTACATTATTACACTCTAATAGCTCACAATTTGTGTGAAAAACAATTAAACAAATGAATTGACAATTGATATAATTTCAGAAATTCCTCAAAATAATGACATATCATTTGCTTCAATGGAAACCACATCAGAGCCCGACTCCGGTATAAAAAGCTTTAAATCTAATGTTGTGTTTATGAAAAATGAATCATTGAATCATTGATATATTAATATTGTTATTTAGGCGATAGTTGTTCCACATGTCAGGCCTCCACCAAAAGAGTAAATCTGCGTAAATATTGCAAAAGAGATTTTGGTAAGTCATATATTTATGCTATTGTACAGAAAACTACCAGTGCTATAGTGGTATGGATAGTGATAGTGATTGGGACTTTAATAACACGGATGAATGGTGTGCTTAACTTATGTCTGATGAGAGGATATCCCTTGGGCTGAGCGCTAGTCTGGTTGTTGTGCATCTCATACTCAATGAGAGCTGTGGCCGCAAATGTGTGCCTAAACCCAGACCTAACTCTAACTCCACTGCCATTGCCTGCAATCAAACTGAAGACCCAGTGTTCCACTGGTTATAGACATGTATCCATCCATTGATGGAGTGTTGTATTTGCGACTCCACTCTCACTAACGATTGTGAAGTCAGTAGTAGTCTAGTAGTCACTAATGCGTGCATTGGCTGAGAGTCAGCATCCTTGCGATCCCTGTCATCCCTGCCATCCCTGCCATCCCTGCAATGGCTGGCAATGAGCGCACACTTGACTGCATATCGCGCCTCACTTTCTCTATGAGTCATACATTGAGACCAATTTTGGGCAACACTTCTAACGGCTTCGAGAAATGCTTTACTTTTAGTGGTCTTTCTCTCTAATATCTCACTGTTTTGACACGATTTTCATCAATAATAGCCAAACTTTGTTACTCCAGTCACCGCTTCATTGCATCTTATATTTCATTTAAAGCAAAACACATATTTGAAGCAACACTCAAATGAATCGTTTCTCGTTATTGTAATTTTCACTTCAATACCAATTTGTTTATTACGAACACCAGAACCCACTCAACCATATATTGATGTTTATTAGAAAAAAGATTATTTATTATCAGATATTAATATAAAATATTAGACACCTATTTGTTTGCTACAACACTTTAATAGGTGTTTAGTTTATTCTCGTATTTCTATCTTTTTCATCAGCAATTAATAACTACAGAATTTCTTACACTTTTCTAGACTTTACTTCCACTTCGAGTCCTCACATGTTTTTACAGGCAATCAATGCTTAGGAACTCATTACTACTAATTCATCAAATACTTCAAAAAATGCCGAAATTATCAAAACTTTTCCTTATTTTCTTCTCATTTCTCTGTGTTTTCAGCTGTAAATCACATTTAAAGCCATAAGTTTGCTCTTTTAGTTTCCTTTTCAAGAATCACATCAATAGTGCTTAACCTAACGGACAGTTGTATTAATTTTTTAGACCACTGTCTTATGGTATACAGTCTGTAGTTCCCACTTATATTTTACAAAAACGAAAACAACACTTATTTTGAATTCAAAGCAAATATTTTGCAAAATCCTCGGTGACATTGATCGCAGTCTCTCCCCTCTATAATATATCCACTTCTACATCCCTTTCCATATACTCTAACATTTATCCCCGGCATCCCTCGCGAGACTTTGCTCTCTTTAGTAGTCTAATAGCGATGAAAGTTATATTTAATGGCAATGGGATTCACAAACAGCGATGAAAGCGTAACGCAAATAATTTTATGAGTTAAGCCATAGTTTATAAAAGGGTTGCTTTGAGTCATTCAATTCTCGCCATAATTATTATATGAGACAATTATGGCCTAAAAATGATAACTTTAGAAAGTTATTTATTAAAATTTATTACATTTCTTCGGTGTCTCTCTGGTGTGCGACTAATATTATCTCAAGAAAACAGGCAAAACATTAACACTAATAGGGAATTGCATTCTTGATAAACACCAACAAAAATAAGTCCACATTTTCAGATGTGTCTATATTTAGGGCTAATAATGAAATTCTTTATGTATTTTATTAGATTTTTGTACAGTATTTTTTGAATAGAAAAGCAATTTTTAAATAAAACTTTTAACTCAATTTTTATTTGATTTTTTATTTTTATATATTTCGTTCAGTTGTTGACTTGAAATGTGTTCATAAAAATATATTGTCTCCAATTCTTTGAGTTTTTATTTTATTGAAGTAAAAGTAGCACTAATTCTATAAACAAGTCAACAATACAGTGCAACAGCACTATTACAGCCAAACTCTAATAGTGTTGAATAATTTGCTTTTGTATAAACCATTATTTGCTGTTATCGTTAAGGCATGCGATTTGAGAATACATTTAGAGAAAGTGATACCAAACAGAAAAAGTGACAATTGAGAGGTAATAGACAAATAACTGACATTTCTTTCCATTATATGCCAGCAATTCAAGCGAACGTTATATCGCGAGAGACTGTCGGCGATTGGGTTCGCTTTACGATCCAAATAATGCAGATTTACAAACACTCGACCACTAAATTGAGAAGAGGTTCCGAATTCCTATGGGTGCCACTGGACGACCTGGCTTGCAAGTACGAGAGACTGTCGGCGATTGGGTTCGCTTTACGATCCAAATAATGCAGATTTACAAACACTCGACCACTAAATTGAGAAGAGGTTCCGAATTCCTATGGGTGCCACTGGACGACCTGGCTTGCAAGTGCCCCAAGATCAGAGTCAAACACACTTACCTTATATTAGGTTTGTTTTGAATCGATTTCATGTTTTCTTGCGACAATAAATAGTGGACTGAAAATAACTTATCATTTTCAGGAAACGATGAGAGAGAGACTCAGCCCTCGGGTCTGATCGCCGACAGAAGGAGTATAGCTATTGATTGGAAGGAGGAATGGGCCGATCGGATGAGGAGATTCCAAAGACGACAGTTTAAGGGAAAGTGTAAAACCGATGACAGCGTCTGAAATCATCCTTTATATGCGGCACTCAAATCATTTTGATTTGAATGTCAGTCGATATCAATGACACAATTGTGACGATTCAAGAGAAAGTCATACATTTAAAAGCATACATATCCTTTGAATTACATATTTGAGATTATGTGCCAACAGTTTATTACTTCAATTATCAAATATTATTAAAAACAAAGTTATTTAAAAGTTATATTAATAATGACTACGAAATAATCATTTTTGATGTTATAGAAGATTTGAGAGCAAATTCTTGCTTTATGTCATATCTATGTTATAATTGCCTATAATTAGTAGATAAACCGTTCGTACGTTTAGTTTATATACAGTATTAAAGAGGAGACAAATAGATGTAATTGTAATTAATGGTGAATCGAGTCATTAAGTCATAACATATAAAAACAGTAAATTCTGTAGTATTTCAATATTACTTTCAAATGGAGGGCACAAATGCCATTAATTGAAAGACACTATTAGTGAATTTACAGTATTATATACAGTATACAGTAATATAATAATTTTATATAACGTCTCTAAATTTTACAATTTTTCAAACATTTTTTCACATATTCACTATATTCATTAACGACTTTAATTAAAATATAAATACTAAAGTAAAAAGTGATGTTAAACTACTTAACTATAAAAACATTTTGTTATTTTTAAATTTTGCCTTTAATTCAATGTTCACAACATTTTACTATTAGTAGACGTTGGAAATTATTACAGTGTTTCCAATGAATTTTGATTTAAATTTTGAAACGATATAAAAAGTAATCATTCATTGTATTTTGAGATTTGTTATAACTTTTACTCAGATTTTTACTTATTATTTATTTTGTTTTTAATCTAATATAAGTTATATTGTCTTCTATTGTATAATAAATAATTTTCTTCAATAAAATTGTAAATTTAAAATAAAAAACTCTTACTTATATAAAACACATTGTCTAAGAATTCATTTTTAGTGTATCTAAATACAAAACTTATTTGAATATTTTAATAATTGAATATTATTTTAGGGGGAAATTTAACCTAATTATTTAAAATTAACAATTTACACCAGATTTAGTATTTATTATTATATACAGTACAGTATATCAACAATAGACAAGTAGCGGTAAAAGCATAAATCTATAGATTTGTCCCAAGCATTATTGGCAGTTATAAACGTTAATATTAAACGTTTAAACAAAATATATAACAGTAAATCAATTCTGATGAATATATTTGTTTAAAAATTATTTAGACAATTATATAGTTTAGTCTGAAACACAGCTATAAACCCATAAACGCGACAAAAATAGTAATTTTTCATTTCAAGTGATTTAGTTCATGTCAGAAGAAAGTAGTTTTGTTTATGTGTTTTATATTCTCTTCGCTCTCTGTGTTATGGGATTATTATTATATAAACCCATAAACGCGACAAAAATAGTAATTTTTCATTTCAAGTGATTTAGTTCATGTCAGAAGAAAGTAGTTTTGTTTATGTGTTTTATATTCTCTTCGCTCTCTGTGTTATGGGATTATTATTTATATTCGTGAGACTATTCCCTTGTTTTATACGAAATATTTTTCACTATAACTTTATAAAAACTATGTTTGCAGGCAATAATTATATTGATAGCAGTGATTACATCAAAATATAATATCCAAGAAATTCAACGACAAGTTGACATAAGAATGAATTATGAAAATGACAAACGGATATATGAGATGAACGAAAAAGCGATAATAAATAAAGCAAATGAAGGGCACCAAGAGATTTATCACTCATACAAAGGAGTGGACAGAACTAATCCAAAACACAATTTACTGGTCGAGACAATCGTCGAAATAAATGACAAAATAGATTCCGATAATCAAAATATGGGAAGTGTTAGTGATATAGCATCAGATTGGCATAAATCAAGCGATGGATACATAAGACACAGCTTAGAGAAGAGGACAAAGAATGTGGAGTTCGATGCAAACGGAAGACTAATGAAAACAACAGAAACGGTTGAAACTGTGAAACCAATTGAATTGATCGATAAGTCAGATAATGGTTCAATGAAATTAGAGACCATTTCGACTAAGATTGCCATCAAAATAGAGAGAAATAAAATAATTAAAACCCAACGAAAAGACCCCATCATTGAAGTGAAGACTGAAAGTAAAGAGAAAATTGTTTTGGATGTCCACTCGTGGACCCATTCCTCAACACCGGCTCTATCGGTCACTTCGGAAACTAATTTAATGTCAACTTTTATGGCGAATAATAAACCGCAGATCACTTCCGATACACTTATATCTAATGTGGAATTCAGCGAAACAAAGGTTTATTTAATGAACGAAAACTCATTTATTTTATATTCTCGCAAATTCTAACTAAATTATCGCTTTTACTAACTTTTTATTGACTAGAGTTTAATCAACACAATAGATATTAAAGAAATTCCGACTCTTGGAAGTCATCTTAAGGTGAGACTAATGAACAAAAATTAATTATTTTCTATGAATATTGTCATTATATTGGTTCAGATAAGAGAAGTGCCCGCTTTTATAAGCAAATCGCAAATCACAGAAATTTTAGATATCCGCCAAAAATCAAATTCTGTGTCCCATCAAGTGATTGATGCAGAGGTGTCTATAAATATACAAAGAGCTATCACTCAAACTAAAATTCCCTCGGTTATTCCCATTTCTACACAAACTATTAAATTCTCCAAGAATTTTGATAATAATGATATTAATAACGATAAAAACAAATTAAAACAGCAATTATAAATAGCTATATACTGTATACACATTTGAAATAAAACTAATATATTACAACTAAATATTTAGTACTCGTGTACCTTAATTAAGCTAATTTAATAATTCTTAATTACTATGTTTATTACGGTATATACAGTACAGAATATTTTATAATGTAAGTACAAAAAAATATAACTTTTATACTTTAAAACTCCTTATTTATAATTAGCTTTAAACATATAATAATTCAAATGTAATCACTAATACAATATTACTGTAATCACAATTAAAAAGGATAGTTTTGAATAGGTTAGTTAGTACAGTATTAATAATTGAAACATTTTGTAATAATTATTAATTATGAAACATCTCTAGTTAATAAGATGCCATAAGTTTGCAAGTACTGTATATTTAATGGCAAAAACCTATGCAACATGAAAATAAGCCAGCAGAATAGGTAATGCATATGAATTAATAATTGATCATGGGCAATTTGAACTAAAAGTACAGAATATGTGTGATTCTTGGCTTTACACTACAATAACTTCACTGCAATACAACAATACAGTAATCAATGGTTTAGTTTAGCAATCATTGGTGTCATTACGGGTGCTATGAATCGATATATCGATTGTTGTGCTAAACAATCGAAACAATTACATA